TGGCAAAAGTAAAATACCATGGTTAGAAAATTTATTCGGTGATCTTGAACTTTAGCTAATGAGAGAGCACACAGGAAGCATTTGGACCCTAGGAACAGATGACAAGCCGGTCTAAAATACAAATTGGATCAAACAAGCATCTCGTGCATATGGAGGAAATGGTCATAAGGAACATTTAATGCCACTCTTCTTTGGTATGATTTTCGTGTAACTCATTTATTTGCATGCATCCTAGTTCCTTCACAACTTCCGGTCTTTGAGCTTTTTTCTGATGCCAAAAACCTCTTTCGCATCATTAAAAAGCAAATAAAATGCGGTGATAAAGGTCAAAAACAGGACTCTGGGATGTCTTCAGTGGCTAAGCAGGGTGGAGAGGACTGCCACGGATCAGCACTAAGTGCTGATGCAAAAGTAGCAGCTACGGCAGTCACTTTCACCACCACCACTACCATCAACATTAATATTACTGCAGCCGTAGCTACTGAGACTCCACCATTATCCGCTTAGTCATAGCTTTGATGCCCCTTAGCAATGCTTCCTTTGCCAACTCACTAAGCTGCAGAAGACGCACGGTAGTCTGCATCTGTCTGACAGTGATGCTTGACTTCTGATTGTGGTAAGCACAACACCATGATTACACACTAGTACTAATAATACTAATTTGCCACTCAAGGTCTTTTGTTAAGGCATGGACTCCATTTTTAATACAGCATCCACAGAGAGTAAATATACAAGTGCACCTGATTTTATGCTGCATCAGCATTATAATGAAGATCGCAAAGACTAAAGTCGTGTCACCCTAAGAGGGCATAGACTGACTGAATGGAGCAGATGATGGACCAAAACGATTGTTTCAGGATACTTACTGGCACAATTATGCTGCCTTGTTACTTCTGTCCTTCAAATAAATGCAATAATTCCGCGTTACCAAGGTGCTCGTGGTAGCCAAATGACCGACACAGCAAACAAATTGTTCAGTAATGTTTGTCAAGAAGCTTTGATTTTTCTTTTTGCTAAGAAATGGCCAAACGTTTAGCTGTCAAAG